CTCTGTATGAACCCGCTCCACCCCACCCACCCACCCACGACAGGGAGTGTGTCCTATTCAGGAAGATGCGTCCTCGTTACTTGGGTTCCGTAACTTCTCAACCCCTAAGACGTCCATAAGCACTGGGTCTGCACTCCAGACTCATCGTCGTCACCACCTTTCCACAATCAGCCGTCAACCGAGGGCTTCTCACGTGTCCCGCCCCGCATCCTGAGCTTAGCATCCCGCTCCCTGTTCACAGTCCTGGGCCGGGCACCCCAGACGATGGAACCGGGGCTGAGGGATGACAGTCCCGCCCGAGCATCCACACGGACGTGGTGCTGCCAGACTCCTTCTGAACCACAGATACGGGAAACCGCGGGCTGAGAAAGGAGCACGGGAAATACATGCGAAAGCATGAAGTAGAATACGCTCCCATTCAAACATATCAAAAGTCTGGTTGAAAAAAAAAAGAACATTTCTGCAGGTTGTCTGATATCTGGTTATCTTTACATCGACATACGCCTGTCAGTGTCCAAGGGGATGCAGAAACTGCCCGAGAGTTTAAAGAGTTTGATGCCAAGTGGCCTCACTCCCTAAAGCGACCTACTGGCTGAAAACCTCCCCATTTCTCCACTGCGGACGGTCTAAGGCAGAGGAGGTCCAGTGCCTTGAAAAGCCCAAATGTTTCAGTTTTTTTTTTTAAATCAGAAGGGGGGGGAATGAACTTTGGGAGTTAAACAAAAAGTTTTTATTTTTTTTCTCGCATCATAGGAAAATGATACTTTAAAGGTTTTCTTAGCTTCCATCAATTCTTTATGGAATGAAGATTAGTGAATCCATTCACAGGAAAATATGGAAGACACAGGAAAGTGATCACGTTCTTTCTCCAAGAGAAACACCGAAGCTTCTTCATCTGAAGCCCTTTATTAACCACGCCCCCAATTGGAGTCCATCATTATGAGACCGAGCAAATCCCTACATACCGTTGGCTTCTTAATTTTCATGCCTCAAAACACGGAAGCCCACTAAACATGAATTCTTCGACAGCAAGGACCAGGCCTTGCCACTCAGCTCTGGGCTCTGATCACCCAGCACAGACTAGTCTCGTTTCATTTCTGAGTGGTGTTGATACCACAGAAAGTGACTCGTGTGTGACGGTGACTTTCACATGGTCTCCGAACCTCAGCACGCACCTACCCAATGCCTGCCCAGGGCGCAACACCTAAGTAAGCCCAGCAAGTAAGACTCAGGGCTTCCTGCTCTGAGGGTCTGCACGGCCTCCCACTGGTGCCTGCAAGACAACACGTAGGCTTCAAATGCAACTTCCTTTCCTCAGTAAAAACAAGGTAGAAGAGACATTTCGGGTTGAAAACAGCATTTAAGGTTTAATAAGAGCCAGCCACATGTGGGTGGTGGTGGTTTAGAAATTCAGTTGAGTCAGAAAAGTCAAAGGACACAAACCGAGGGGACAGCATGCCACCCACCTTCTTAACACCACGACAGAACTGGCCTCTCCTCCAACACTTTAAGACGCAGCTAAATGAAAGCTGCATCTTGCTTTTAAAACACACAAATAAAAAAAAACCCGTAACAGCAGCATAACAAAAAGCTCTGCTTTTAATTATATACATTAAGGTGTAATTACTCACAGAAAGATGCTGTTTTCCAAACAGCAGGCACCTGAATACCGGTACTACTGCTTAATTAAAATTTTCTTTAAATCAAAATCAGGCAATCCATTTTTCATACACCAGCTCATTCCAAGCAGATAATCACTAACGCATGGACCTAACGAGCCAGTGCACAACAGAAGCATGCCACACGCGGTGCCCGCCCCACCTTCAGGAAGACATCGCCGGAAGCAAAGCCCACAAAGATTTTGAAAGCATCTATCTACGTACTTATCAAAGGTATTTGTATTTCTACAAAAATGAGCTTAAACTACATGTGCTCATACACGTGCACAAGCAAGCACAAGCCTCCTGGACCCCGGGGCGCGTCCCGTTAAGACGCCCCGTCGCGGCCACCTGGGCAGCCTCCCTGGAAGCACGGCTCACCATGAGCAGCTCTCGCGGCGACAGCTCCCGTCCAGGGCACAGAAGTGACCCTGGGAAGTGGCTGACACTGCTCTTCATCCACACACACCCCACCGTGCGGCCTGCCTCCCAGTCCCCAGACCCCTGTACAGCTGCTTTCCCTGTGGTCCCGGCGGATCATCAGATGTGTTAACTGTTCAGCTGGTGTTCCCTCCTTGTTCTCCCCCTGTAGCCCTTCTAGGACAGGGGAAGCAGGAAGTTTTCCATAAGCAAGTTACCAAAGTGCTGCGGACTGCTGCCGGTGTGGAAAGTGGGAACGGGGATGCACTTCAGAAGAATAAGCCATATGTGCCTGTTGATCATTCGTATGTCCTCCTTGGAGAACTGCTTGTTTAGGTCTTCTGCCCAGTTTTGGATTAGGTTGTTTGTTTTTTGTTATTATGTCCTATGAGCTGCTTATATATTGTCGGTTTCATCGTTTGCAAAAATTTTCCCCCATTCTGTAGGTTGTCATTTTGTTTTACTTAACGGTTTCCTTTGCTGT